AGTACCTAGTTGCACTTTTGAGGCTGGGCTTGTATTTACATGCCATCTAAAATCAATGCTGGTTGACCAGCTGATTGGTGTCCCTTAAGATGAATATGAGCCATTTAAATTGAATTTTAACTATCTGTCTCTGTGTCAGTGTACTAATTTGGGTTCTGTCTTTAATCACCAATTTTCATTAAATTTTCAGGAACTGAAAGTCTTTGAGAGCTGTCCTATTTGTTTTAAAAATAATTAAAAGCTATTGTAGTGGAAAGAGAGATGGTTTGGTCCAGTAAAATTCATTTTCTGGTGAAAATAGAAGCAAACAATAATCAAACCAGAAACTCTGGTTTCCAGTTCTGTCTGAGCTATGAGCTAAATTCTCTGCTGAATTATGAAAAAATATTTTGAATCATTTAAAAGAAGGAAAATGTGTTATTTTATTGTTGTGGTTCAACCTCAGCTGGCAGCCAAGTACCACAGAGCCACTTGCTCATTTTCCCCACCCCACCTCCTGCCCCTGTAGGATAGGGAAGAAAACTGGAAAGAAGGTACATTTATGTACATTAGCTTTCTTGAGACTTTTTGCTTTCCATCCATAGTTGAAATAAGCCTACTACTGAAACAGTCTACTTCTGGATTTATGCAGCTCTTTAATATATGGTATTACCATTTTAAATACTAAATTATATATGTACAAAACATAAAAGGATTAAGGTCTCCATTCTCCAGTCTTCTAAGTGCAGAACAACTGTAAAATTTTTACTTACAGAGATAAATAAAACAATATTCTGCTCTATGGGGAAATTATTTGCCAGAGCATAGCTGGTTCATATAGATAGTCTTCCTCTTAAAATAATCTCTGTTTCAGCTTCTCAAATAAGAGGAAGAAGAAAGATTGCACAGGGCAAAGCAAACATACACGTGGAAGACTTATCCTGTGTGATTTTTCATTGCAGTAAGTTTAGGTTTGTGACAGACATTAGTAGGTTGTTACCCCCTTCAGCCCACCAGACTTTTTCTCTGCTCATAAATCAGCTTCAGAATGACTTCAGTTTTACCTGGTGTAGTCTTTAGCAAGTACTACATTGGCTGAGTACACCAGACTGAAAACTGTAGCTCAGGAGATGTTTTGTGTATCAAATACTGCTGGCTTAGAGATGGTGTTGCTTTTTATAGCACATGCTGTAGGAGATAAATTTTCATTTGTCACTACATGTCTGTTAGAACTCACAATAGTGAAATTTAATTGTATTGTTAGTTGTTAACTTACCTTGTTACTCAGCTTCTGCTGGAACTAGGTAGCGTAGGATCAGAGAGCTGCAGTCAGGTTTTGGAAATCACATTTGTTTAGGTAGATCTGAGTCCAAGTAATATGTCATACTGACAACTAGTAGGGGAGAGGATGATGGAGAGTTCTAAGTGCAAATACTCTGTATCTGATATGGATTTTAAGACAGCTGAAAGTGTGGGTTTGAAGAGCTGTATATGCAGTGAAAATCTATTGAAATCTGTAATATATTGCAATGGCAGTTGTATTTCAGCTGCTTGATCTTTCCCTATTCAAGTGATCCTTGAAATTTTCATTTGTTTTAGACTGGTGCTAACACATGCTAGGCATTACATTAGACTGCAAAGTCTATTATGTTCAAAAGGGAAGGATTGGAATGCGAATTGTTGAAGCTATGAAAAAGGGTTTCAAAGAATTGGAACTTTGTGCAGTTCCCATCATGGAAATATATTTCTGGTGGAATTTGAACTAGGAAATTGTCCTTTTCAAGGGGAAATATGAAAAAGGAGAATTCTATCTTAAGCAAAGGAAAATACGGGTAATGTAAGTGGTTGCTTCTCCACGCGTCCCCTATGGCTTTTGAACCCTACTCTTGAGGCAGCACTACTGGCTTCTTAGTGCAAAACCTAGACACCTAGAAATAGAATACTCAGTCATGGTCTGATTGATTGGGAGCCCCATGGTGTGTCTCAGATATAACGTGAAGAAACAGAATTTATTTATCTTTTCATGTTGATTTTCTAGTTTCCATGACTGCAGTAATAAATTAACTTTTTTGCTCTGTGTAACCTTTCCAGTGTTTCCCAGAGCAATAAACCCAGAGCATTTATCTAGAGACACTGAACTGAGCTAAGGAGAGTGATTTGCCTCCTCCACAGCCACTCCAAAAAAGCAGCATTCATAGGTTTGTAAGCATAGTGTCTCCCCAGAGTCTGAAAGCTGTGTGCTTTGTGGAAATAGTTCACTTTGCTAGGAACTGCTAATTTCCTGCATTTACTTTATCTGAGACATTGCCAAGTGTTTCCAGGGCAGCGGCACCTCCAAAGGAAACTGATGTTACGTTAAAAAACTACCTTTATAAGTAGAAAAATTCACTGTAGTCACTGGATCTGCTTAATTCATCTGCATGTATCTTCATTTTTTTTTTTTAACTTGAATTTGAAGGATTTAGTATTTTTCCTTTGCTACATGAGACATTGTGAGATACATGAAGAGTTCTAAAACAGTTTCAGAAGTTATGTAAATGCTCAGAAGCCTAAGTTCTGTTCTGAATGGGCAAACTTGATTTGACCTACAGAGCATCACTCACATCAAGACAGACGTGGTAGAATTATTTTATTATTGCTGTGTGGCATTGTAATACTGCTATTGAATAGTGAGCAGCTGCTTTACTAAAAGGTATTTTATTGAATCTTGAAATAAAACACAGTGACATATGCTTTTTCTTCAGACTATAGAAACTATACTTTAAGACAAGAGTGACAGGCTTTAGATGTCCTCGCTGAAATAAAGAATTCAGAATTCATTTCATTATAAGCTCATAGAGAGAAACAGTATTTTTTTTCTTTTTTTCTTTTTTCTTTTTTCTTTTTTCTTTTTTCTTTTTCTCTTTTTTTATTTTTTCTTTTTTTCTTTTTTTCTTTTTTCTTTTTTTCTTTTTCTCTTTTTTTCTTTTTTTCTTTTTTCTTTTTTTCTTTTTTTCTTTTTTTCTTTTTTTATTTTTTTATTTTTTTCTTTTTTTGTTTTTTTCTTTTTTTCTTTTTTTCTTTTTTTTCTTTTTTTCTTTTCCTTCCCATCCAGGTGATTCTCAGTTAACTGAAATCATGTTAGGGCAAATAAGGATGGCTGTGACTTTAACATTCAAAAGTATTTGAATTGGTACACAATGAATTTCCTCATATGGACATTTCTTCCCTAGGACAGAAGTGGAATAGGTCAGATTTTTAGTTTTTGTAAACTGAATGGGATAATTTAGTTTTCATGACACTTCTTAGTCTTTTTCTCTTGCCTTGTCCAGAAACTGAAGCATTTCTGTCCTAGTTATCAAGTAGAAGTTGAAATTGTGATACTAGATATGAAAGTGAAGTTTCATCCCAGGTTTCATATTTTCCATTAGTCTCAGAAGAACTGAAATATTTAACTAAGTAAAACTGAATGTAGTCCTTCCTTTTAAACATTCATGCCAGAGGCAAAAGACAGCAAACATTTAGTTTCATCTTCTGAAGCTATATGCTCTTGAGATTTATGGAATTTGTATTTTCAACTGTTTTTAAAGTTAAGCTCTCAGTTCCCTCCTGAAAAGTACTGTTCATTAAACTATGTGTTTTTTAAAATTTATCTGTGTTTTGATTGCCTTGGCAGTGATGCTATATTACTCTTAGTTGGATGACTTACCAACCTGCAGCACTACTAAGGAGATTTATGTGCTTCTTTAAAAAAAATTGTTTCTCCTGAAATTTAGCAGTTCCAAAGCATTTTGAGCTATTCTTTTTCTAATTGATTGGTATTGTGAAATTTCTGCAACTACAGTGTTATGTTTCATTTCAGGGTAATGTTCAGTGTGGAATATGATATATTTATAAAATTAAAGATAAGGCAGACAAACAGTTAAATCTGTCCTGCCTGAACATGAAATGTGTTCTGAGTGCCATTTAAAATGTATGATGATGTGCAAAGTCTAAGATCTATGGAATATCATCTCATAACCTCTTCATATTAAGAACATCCTAGAAAATATTCTCTGCCTTAACTAACACTTGTTCAGCTCTCATTGTACTACTCTAGCAGACATTGATTATACGGGCTGTTGAATCCTTTTTTAAAGATGTTGCTGCATAATCCTGCTGGATCCTATCATTAGATTTATGGACAGTAATATCAGCTCCTGATTTATTTAAACAATATCTCTGTATAGCATCTGTTGGTGGATAAGAAAAAATTTATACATGAAATATATATAGACAGAGGTGGAAGTGTTTTATCTTAATAAGATCAATGTATTGTGCTTATCTTCATGTGTATATCAAACCAGACTTTTCAATGTATTGTGCAAACTTTTAAAAAAAACTTTAGAATTGTCTTGGTGAGCAGACAGATCACCAATACCTCTCTAAGTACAAATCAGAGCTGAGTTAGATAATTCAAATTTCTTATGTTCATTGTTAGAGGAAACAAAAATAACAAATTGATTGGGAAGCTAAGACTGCATAAAAGAAGGCAAATTTAATAGTCCTGGCAGTTTCGTCTATATATAATGGTTAATTAAGAGGGTGGCATGGATTGGATATGTCTCTTAGGCAAAGTAATAATATCACAGTTTGATTTAAAAAAAATTATGTAAATGCTACTAATTATGACTGTCATAAATTATATAATTCTTTCTGTAATATTACTATTTGAATAAAAGAAGAATGGGAAAATACATTCTCTGATTATAAACATCAATTGACTGATGTTCACAAGATATCTAGAGTATCAGGGAAGAAATTCTGGTTTTCAGAAACTGGAAAAGAAAGAAACAGTTCAAATTGGTGTCTCCAGTGCGGCCTTTGCTATTTATTGGTCAGCCAATTAGTGCCCACTTGAATTTCCACTGAGAAGTTGTAGAAGCACAGTAAACTGAAATAAAGTCTCAAAAGAAATGTGTTGTGGCTCTCTTTGTAGATGCCAAGTTAAGTAGTCAGAGGGTTTATTTCTGACAATAAGAATATTTTCTATTCTCTGACAGCCACGAGCTGTTGCTGGTTTTCGAGGAACGGTACGATACGCATCAATCAACGCTCACAGAAACAGAGTGAGTATCACAATCTGGATCAAAACCATCTCATGTAGCTGGAAGCAGTCAGTCACACAGTTATTCCTTTTTTGTATTCTTATCTGTGCATTTATTATGTTAAAATTAATAGCTATGAATTTTGTGAAAGGATAATGTAATTTACAGTAGTTGAGGATAAAAAAGTTATTGTACAAAAATAGTGATTTTAATACTTATATTTGGTGTTCAATTGTATTGAAAGTTAATAAGTTAAAAAAGTGAAGCTACTGAGTTTTATGAGGCACATAATGCCCAGTATGTTGTCTTAACATCATATTCTAAAGAAATCTGAATAAACAGAGATTTGCAATGCTATTTAAATACACTTCAATTTTATTTTATTTCTCTCTGTCTTTTGTGGAAATTTACTTGTATGTTTCTCCTTAAAATAGCCGCTGGATTTAATTAACTTGTTTTGCAGCATAGGTTATATTAAATTTTATATAATAATTTAAGTTTTGAGCAGTAAACTTATCTTCCCATTTGTTTAGGTATTTGTAATATGCTTTAGAATAATATTTCCTTTTACAGGAAATGGGTCGGCATGATGACCTCTGGTCTCTCTTCTACATGTTGGTGGAATTTGTGGTTGGGCAACTGCCTTGGAGAAAAATAAAAGATAAGGTAAAGCTAGAGGTGAAACCAAAGAGTATAAGGCAGGTTTACTTCTGTATTCCAGGGAAATGCTGTGATAAAGGTTCCTCTTAGAATCATTTATTAATTTCAACATTACATTTTCCAGTGTTTTATAGTGTAAGTTTTTGTGGCTAGTGTCATGGTATAAAAAGCAATCAAATTTTATTAAGTGTTCTAGGAAGAAAGGAGGTTATACTTCTAGGTTGAAATTATTGTAAAGGGCAGATGTAAGTATATATTTGCCACTTACTTCATTATTCCTGTTATCACTTGAGTACCTTATTTCACCTATCACACGCTTAAAATTTCTAATCTGTTTTGATTATTTGTGAAATAGGCATTTCTTATTTGCTGGTGAACAAAAGTGGATTGGGTAGTATGCAGTAGTGCCTTTAGTCATATATCATAGGTGAAGTATGCAAAGAAGGAATATCTAATCAGCCTGCTATTACTTCTTGCAGCTTCTTTTGAAATCATACTGAAATCAGGTTACTCTCTGATGTGGTTTATGTATTGGTAGATGACAGTGTGGCGTATAGGTAGCATCTCCTTTTTGGTTTTGATTTACACATCTTACATGACTGAATATGCACCAAAAAGGGACTGAACTTGATATGATGCAACAGGAAGTTTAAATCTTTAAAATATACTGTTAGAATGGGTTGTAGTGTTTAGTGACGGCTCTTTGTATCAGTCAGCATTCAAACTACAAACAACACAAACACAGTGGAAAACTAAATGGCTTTTCATATTGAATTTGAAGTTTGTACATTATTTTGCAAGCATACTGAGGCCGCAACCAGAATCTCCTATCTTGCTCTCTGGTGTGGAATGGCCTTTCTCAGTACCATTCAGTGTAATTTAGTGACCTGTCTCTCTGGTTAGTAGTGTATTGAATGGCTGTAACAGAGAATATGAGTATGTTGTAACAGAGAATGAAGGTGTGCCAATGTTTGTTTTGTTACTTACTCCTAGGAGCAAGTGGGCTCCATTAAAGAAAGGTATGAACACAGACTTATGTTGAAACATCTTCCTCAAGAATTCAACGTCTTTCTGGATCACATTTCTAATTTGGATTACTTTACAAAGCCTGATTACCAGGTAAACACTTGTACTATTTTCTCTTTCTGTTTTATAAGGAAAAAATTTTATGCTGTTTCACCTTCAATTTACTTTGATTTCAATGTGTAATCATGGTAGTCATTATGGTTTGTGCCACCACAAAGTTAATTTAATGACCATTTAGTGCCACAGAAACTCTGTGAAATTTTTTTCCATTTGGGAAGTGTAAGGCTGTTAAGTTTCTAAAAACAATTGACAGCTGCTTTTCAGTCAGTATTCTGTTTGGATTGGGAGCTATCTCACTATCACAGCCTCTAGTGGGTGCTCCCTAAGTTAAGTGATCAGATTGTTCTCTCAGTGATTGTCATTCTGGCAGTTTTCCAAAGTCTGCAACTCAGCACCTGCAGCTAGAGCACAACATACACTCATGGTGTGTGTTTTCAAAACTGAAGTATTGGGTACAGAGGTCACAGAATTTTTCTTTGTTTAAGAGAGTATTGCCTGCTGAAATGGGCAGCCTCTGCTCAGTGGTGAGGTGGTGTGCGCTGAGAGGATATGCTGTAGAATGTCTTAACTCACTCATGTTGACTCATGATTAAACAATAAATAAAGATAGAACTTTTTTCAAGTTTGTGGGAAGCAGCAGAGGAATGCTCAGGAAAAGCAGGGAAGAAGAGACTTGAGAGTTTTTTCAGTCTTGCACACTGTGAGTTGTACTGATTGAATTGCACACCATGACAAGCTGTCCCTGTGTGCTTCCCTCCGGCTCCCAGAAACACACATTCCCACTTGCTGGGCCTTTCTGCCTCTGTGCCTTTGTTCAACTCCCTAAATCAGTGAAATCAGAAGGAATGGCTTTCTGTTGGTGTTCAAGTGTAATTGGTTCAACTGAATAAATAAATTTGACCAGTTCTGGAATTGTAACTTTGATAAGAGTGACTCCTCTACTTTGCTTGGTAAGATTAATGAAGAAATCAAGATATATAAGAATTGAAATAAGAGGCAAAAATCTCAAGGAATAACTGATTTCCTGTTAGTAAGTGGATTTCTCTAAATATACTGATATATGATTCTGCACACTTGCAAAACAAATAAATCAATTTTTGTGAAAAAATTGAATGTTAAAAAAAAACTTATTACAAATACAAAACATGCTCAGTATCCCTGAAAAAGAAGTACTTTGATTTTTTTTTTCTCTTCTCCATTAAAAATTTCCATGAAATTTATAGTTTACAATTAAGTGAGGAAAAAGTTTTCAATGTTTTGTGGGCCTGGTTATAAAGATGTATCAGGTTTTTTTTTTCCTATGGTAAAAAGTACTATTGCAGAAACTTTGATGTTGTATAGAAAAACCTTTATTATAGATTGGTAAATATGTTTTGCATTACAGAACCTGAATGATAAAGCATATAGACAGTCATGTAGTTTTGAATACTTTTTTGTGGTTTATTTGTATCTAACACAGCATGTGCACTCAGCACATGATACCAGGACAGAGTTTTTCCACGATAGAGACAGCCCAGTAATTTACAGTCATTTGGCTATTCATGGAACATTTGCAGTTGTGTAGCTGCAGCCTGAGCCTTACAATACAGTCTTGCTCATGTGCTTTAGACCAGAGCAGGGTGGTTTTATTTAGAGCAGTGAGGGTGCTCCTTTAAACTCTGATCTCTCTTGTGTTTGCAGTCTTATTCCTACCTACTGTATTCTTTGTATTTATGAATGGGCAGTGAACAAAAATGTGTGTATATCCCTGCTTTGAAGAGTTTACAGTCTAAAAAGTTCATGACTTTGGCCAAGAAGCTATGTTTGATTTGGCAATGTCAGATGTTTATTTTATTCAGGTATTTGTGCATACATTGCCTCAGCCTCCTGATATCATTAAGCATTTGAGTTTGTATTTGCCTTATAGCAGAAATTGATGAAAAAATTTAAAGGAGAATGACCTTAAAAATTACTTCAGAGACACTGCTTAATGTTCAGAGGGAGAGGAGAATTAAACACAGTACGTAAGAGACAGGGTGAACTATGGCTTTGTACTCTTCAGTAGGGTTGCAGAAATGACTGGGACAGCTGGCACACAGAAGATTCTTGAATGTAAAGATTAATGGGTGAGACCACTCCACACAAGAGAAATGATCCAAACTTCTCATCTATTTTAAGTTGCCAAAGAGTATGCCAAAGGAGAGTGTGGAAAAATCTTCAGCATCTGGATTGGGAAAAAACCCCAGATTTTTCACTTTTAGGGAAAAAAAGCAAACATAGAAATGTTACAGAGTAAGAGAATGATATGGACACAGCCTTCCCATCATTTGTAGAATGAGACAAAGTTTATTTCACAGAGAGAGGAAAGTGATGCCATTTGTTTCTCTGTCATGGATATAAATTTTCCAAAGGCTTTTTCATAGCATAAACTGAGGATTGAAAATTAGACATTTGTATAGTATAAATGTCAGCATTATATGAAGTAAATGCTATGTAGTTCTTAATGACAGAAAGGTATGGATTAGCAGAAAAGTATCCTTTCCTACATCTCATTAATTTCCTTGGTTTCACAGTGTTACCAAATGTATTCTTTTTTCTTCCTCTGCTAGAGAGCCATTGTATGGCATTCTTCAGCAATGTAGTTATGCATCTCTGTGTGTGTGTATATCTGTCTTTTTGTAAAAGTCTATGGTGTATCTTTGCCTCATGCCTGATAAAAACACAGATGTGGGTGGATTTTTTTTTCTCTTTTAATAAAATGGGATTTTGTATATCTTGGCCTCAAAATCTTGAAAAATGAGAAGTGTTTATATAAAAACCTAATTTTTTATGTTGTTGTCAGTATTACAGAGGGATATTTCTTAATTGTTTGGTCTCTTAGACAAAAATGAAGCTTATTAACTTTTTTCTTTATTTTCAGCTTCTCATGTCTGTGTTTGACAACAGCATGAAAACATTTGGGGTTATTGAAAGCGACCCTTTTGACTGGGAGAAGAGTGGAACTGATGGCTCTCTGACAACAACAACAACTTCAACCACCCCTCAGTTGCACACTCGTCTTACGCCAGCTGCAATTGGGTATGTATGGTGTGGTCTCTTCTGTGGCAGCCACAGAGGGGCTTCCTACCAAAGGGAAATTATCTCCATAATTTAGGTTTTTTCTGCAGGATTTTGAATGCATAGAGGAAGTGAGGTTTGGGAGCTGTGATTTGAAGCTGCATTTGAAGTATTTCCCTTTTTAGGGTACCAGTTTATACTATCCTGAAAGATAAGCGCTGCAGTCCCAAAATTACTGCAATAAAAATAGTACTTCAGGAAATTGCATGTAAATTTGCTCATCCATCCTTTGCTAAATCGTATTTTGTGAAACTAAATAATGTGTCCTGAGTTTAAGTGCCTGGAAATTTAACTGTCTGTAAATAAGCCCATTGTTTTCTGTAAGCTTGAAATAAAATTCTAGCTGCAATTTCCTTGTAAGTTTGAAAAATGAATAGATCTTTATAAGAAATTTGGAAATAGATTTTGGTTGTGTTTGAAATAATATTTAATATGTTGTTTGAGACATTATGTAATGAAGTAAATTGGACAAGATGTGATGTTTAATAATACCCAGACTCATCTCAGGGGACTGAAGAATATAAGAGGTGTTTATGGATGAATGTAAGAAGTGTTTATGGGTGCCATTAATTTTTTTGAGTAGAAAAATATGTATAGAAGAATCAGGAGGGAAGTTGAACCTGGACATGATCTCTAACAAACTTTCTCAGACATGGCTTCAAAAACATTCAAAAAACCCCAGCTTTTATGTGATAGTTTTTTTGATTTACATATTTTCTTATATACCTACATTAAATAAGTTGTGAAAGCCAGGAAGTAAGAGGTTTTATATTAAATAATTTCCAAGATTTAGTTTTCTGCAGAAACATGATTTTCTTTGTAAGCTTTTGTTTGTTTCTTTCTTTGAAAATAGAAAATAATTTCTGTAAACACATGGGAGTATAAAAATGTTTGCAATTCTGATTTTGTTTTTAAACTACTTTCGTAGAATTGCCAATGCCACTCCTATCCCAGGAGATTTGCTGCGGGAAAATACAGATGAAGTATTCCCTGATGAACAGCTCAGTGATGGAGAGAATGTTATTCCCGTTGGGGTATCACCTGAGAAACTACCTGGATCCCCTGGACATCAGCGTCCTCAGGAAAAAGATGTTTGGGAAGAAATGGATGCAAACAGAAACAAAATAAAACTGGGGATCTGTAAGGTACTTTCAAATTTGCACTGTCAAGACCATCTTTGAACAGTTTCTTGTCCTGATAGTTCACATAAGGTATAATTTATAAGGCAGTTGTACTGATACTGATTAGCCAGAATGATCTAAGAAAATAATTTATGGCAGAGATAACACATTTTATATACTGAAAAAATCAGACAGGCTTTTGGGTCTTTTGCCACTTTATCAGGTTTTTATGATGAATAGCTTGCTGATAATTTGAGGCTCTTTGTAGTTTACTTGTTTTCTTCAGACACAATCTTCATGCTTGCTCACTGAATGAATTCAAAGCAATTTTCCTGCATCTTGCATGTGTAGAAGCTGGATCTTAACTTTACAAAAGAAGATTTTAATGTTCTTCAATTGACAAATCATCAGCATGATTGGCAGTATCCATTTAATTCGCTTGGTGATTTTGTCTCCATAAGGTATATTACCTTTGTACTGATTGAGAGATTCATTGGCTGGTCTTTAGAAGAGAATGCTGCTTCATTTTCAAAAATGGTCTCTGAGAATTGGTTCCTGTCTTCCTTATTCACAGTCACAGTATTTCATACCTGGACAGATGTAGCCTTTTTTCTTCATATAACAGTGTTTTTAACACGAAAACAGATCTGGTACTAAAATGTTCTTTATCTAGGAGGGCTGTCTAATTTTGAAGCTGTTATTCATTATTTGCTAGGAAAAAAATGTATTGTGGGAAAGACCGAGGTATGGTGCCTGTTTTCAAATGTGCTTATTTGTGTGTTTTTCCCAAAGAGAGAGAAAGGAGATTTTTCTGGTTCAAACAAAGGCACTTTCTGTTACACCTGTAGAAACTAAGAATGATCATGATTTCCCAGCTCTAAATCATGTTCAGTTATTATTCTAAATCATGTTCAGTCATTATTAAGATAGAATGCAGTTGGGTTTAAACATAGTTTAAAGTCATAGAAATATTTAGTAGATTTAGTGTGTTATGCTCCAGAGAATCAAAAAGACAGTCTGGGAGCTAACTTCTTTTTAATAAGAGCACTTGACTGTAAAGCAGACCAAAGATGCTACTAAGCGCAAAGTTTCAGACTGTAATTAAAGAATATTTCAGAGATGGGTGTGAAAAATCAGAATAAATGTAACTGTATTACTGGGTCTTTGATACTCCTGTTCTCAGACTTACCCAGATCCAGTATACTGCCAGTACCTTGTCTGCTGTAGGTGTGTGCTGAAGAGCATATTTAACTACCTTAAATATGCATGAACTTAAGGACCATTCGAAATACAAATTGGCTTTTCACGTTCTAAAAACTTGGAGGGTCTTTGCCATGTAGTTCCTTGTCTTCCTCTTCTTTTGGCACTCCTACATTTTTATTTTACATTTTGCACAGGCTGCCACAGAGGAAGAAAACAGCCACGGACCAGGGAATGGAATGCTTAATGCCCCGAGTCTTGGTTCTCCAATCCGAGTTCGCTCAGAGACCACCCAGTTAGACAGAGATGTTCCACTGGTGCGAAAGTTACGTTCCATTCACAGCTTTGAACTGGAGAAGCGTATGACGTTGGAGTCTAAGCCCGACACTGATAAGTTTCTTGAGACCTGGTAAAGAAATTAAGTTATCCTTTTGCTAGGATCTTTTAAGGATATGTGATTTGGATGCTATTATCTTTGCTGTGTGAAGATCTGGAATGAAGCTATGGAGTATGCTTATGGAAGTTACAGCAAAGTATTTTTCGTAATATTGCTCAATTAATGGGTTTCACTACATGGCAGCTACGTTAGAAAATGATTATTGCTAGAATACAGTTGAAGTTGGACTTCCACACCTGGGAATTTTGTATTTCAAGACCTGGTGGTTGTAACCCAAGTATTCATTAACTTTTTCTTCAGTGGCATATAGTCAGTACAACTCATCCTGAATAAGAAGTTGACATCAGGTGCTCAATAGAGGTAACATGACATAAGGCTATATGACATGAGAAGGGAGGTTTACAGGAAGTAGAGTGAAGAAGTTAGAAATCTATGAAGCAGGCTTTGTTATGCCCAAAGGTGTAGAACCAACATAAAAAAAACCTTGGTGGAAGACAGAGAACTTAAAATGGAATATGAAAGTAGAGAAGAGACAGGTATATGAAAATGGATTCAGTTTTCCTATGTCTGAATAGGACATAATTAAAATAAATAAATAAATAAATAAAATAGGAAAGAATATGGGGAGCGGGACACAGTGAAATCTGACTGAAAAGGCAGAGGTTGAGTGGGGTGATGACAGTGGCAAAAACCTTCTAAATACTTCATAGGGGAGCTAGGAATTTGAATTTGTTTGATGAAAGCAAATTACACAAAGAATAAGTAAGGAATCAATCAAAGCAATAAATAACATTCTTCTTGAAAGCATATAACATATGCTAGACATCTGTTTCTTCTGTTCCTCTTTGAGTTTCTGCTTTGCCACAAATTAAGTGCAGTGGACATCTGTGGTAACCTCACTACTGAGTTTTTTTCTCTCACAATTCTCCCTTCTGGACCATCCATCCATTTTTACTTGACATCATACTTAATTGTCTCAAATTGTGGATCTTTGAACCATTGTAGGTTCTAGAATATGACAACAAATTTTTATATAAACCTAATTTTCTTCTGAAAACACTCAAATGTAACATACATTATTTAATTAATTCTCAACTAATTCAGATATTAACTTCTTTTCTCTAAGTTTGGAGAAGAAGCAGAAAGACTTGAAAGTGGCAGAGACTCCTGTTGCTGCTGTTCCTCCTCTTTCTCAGAAAACATCTGTTCCTGCTCCTGTGACTGCCCGCACGGACCATGTTTGGCACTATGATGAAGAGTATCTTCCAGATGCTTCAAAGCCTGTGTCAGCTAATTCTCCTGACCACGCTGATGGTGTTTTGAGCAATGGATTTGTAGCTGTTAACCTAAGCTCCTGCAGGCAGGAGGTTGATTCTAAGGAATGGGTGATAATAGATAAGGAACGGGACTTGAAGGACTTCAGGACAAATGAGGCTTTAGGGCACAAAATGACCGGAAGTCCCTCAGATGAAGAGCCAGAGGTACTACAAGTTCTAGAGGAATCCCTTCCAGAAGAACAGTCCAGAGAGGGTGGTTGGGCCGGAAACAATGTCCTTGCTAAGAACCAAACTTCAGGGGTGGAGTTTGTTCTAGACATGGAATGTCATCCTGCTGCATCTGAACAGCTTACAGATAAATTGGAACTTCTGTCTGGAGCTGCAGGACAGCTTCTTGCGGCCACCCCTACAAGTCCTATGGAAGCTCAAGCAGAAGGAGCACTCACTCCGGTAAGAAAACTTCTTTATTCAGAATTGTAAGATGAAATGGTAAAGGTGGTAACGAAAATACAGCAGTGTAGCAGAAATTCCTGGTTTCAACAGGTATGGGATTTGAGTCTTGAAGACTGATCTTCCATATTCTGTTATACAGCTGTTTACAGTCACTCATGGAAGTGCTAATTGTTCTGCAGGTGTGACCCACAAAACTGGCCACATTTAACAGAGTTATCCATCTATATACCTGTCTACCTAAAGAAGCTCCTTGTGCAGTGAATCCTAATCAGTGAGAGACACACATGTGAATGCATATTTATTATATTTGCAGTACATAAACATAAAACTGAAATAGAATATGTAAAATCCTGTGCTACAGTGTTTCATGTGTTCCAGAAAAAATCTGAAATTAAAGAAGTGGCTGAAATTAAAGAAACAGTTACTTGCTCTCACCTCTTACTATGATTCCTGCAGTGTTTGCTTCTGGAATTCACTTTGCTTCTTCCTGTTCCTTCTGAAATTTCTAATGGTCCTTATACAAACACCTTGTTGCCTTTTATGAAGTGTTGATGCTTTTCACTTCTAAAATGCTTTTGCAACTCCTACTTTGCTCCTGTATTTTTCACTGAGAGATGCTTTGCTTCCACTGGGTATTCTTGTTTTTCTTTTTCCATCTTTTCTGAAGAATTCTCAGTTGCGCAGTTTCTGAACATTTACTTTTTACTCCTGTCACTGTTTCTAAACAAGGATTTCTTTGCCTTTACTTACGGAGAAGGATAGGGAATCACCTCATGGTTTTATTTCTTCCCCTTTTTAAGTAGATATTGTGGCATCGATGATCTAAAGGTCAATTCTTTTAAGTTCCCTTGAGCCAAGAAACCTGGCTATATCTTTTCTTTATGTATCTCCACTTTTTGTGAAAGTTACCACCAGCTTATTAGAAAAAGAAACTTGTCACCAACTGCTCATTTATTATAAGGTGTGGAATATTCTTTATAGTGAAAATTAACTACTCAATATAATTAACTATAGCAGCACAGTAAAATTTCAACTACACCTAGGTTCTCATGGAAAAGGCAAGAACTGTGTTAAACAACAGATTTTTTGAGATGAAGTTTGAAATATTATTTGCATGAAAGAGTTTTTGATGGGTTAGGAACCTTTACAGGTGAAAAATTATTTTAAATTTTTAAGTTGTTCAGTTTTTGTATATTAATGTCAGTTTTAGTAAAACAGACAAGTAAGAGCAGCACTTGGTCCTGTACAAAATAATAATTATCAAGTGTTTTTATTTCAAAAGCCATTAAAAGCAGCTTGTAATTTTATATGCAAATACACTATACAGCTCTATACAAATGTGACTCTTTTGCAGGAAATAGCTTTTTACCTAAAACTAAAAGTAAAGGTGGTACAAATATTATGTACTACAGTGCAAAGAATGGACAATATCTTTGTCTGGAAAGGAAGAAGCTTCAAAACACAGGAGCAGAAACAGTTGCAAACAAAGTTAATTATTATAAAATGCATTGGAAGAAATACTGGCTGAAGTAGAAACTCAAGTGAAATTATATTTTACTTTGGTTTTGCAGGGAGATAAGTAGTATTTGTCATGACCTCTAAAAAGGGAGAAATTAATGTGGTTTATGTTATGCTGGAAGGGCAAGTAGAATTGTGAGTGCAAGATGAATGGCAGGAAGGAACTTGGTGTTTCAAAAGTGAATGATATACAATAGGAAATATAAACTGACCAGGGAATAAAGAAAATAGAAATTACTTGGCCAGTTTAGGAGCTGGGAACAGTGTGTCTGTACAGCGTGTCTGCTCCAACTGTGATGGCAATTTGTGTTAGTCTACCATCTACTTCATTAGCCCTTGAAAGCCATGGAGAGCCCAAGAGGCTATTTCAGGGTGAGTTTTTCTTTTTGTCCTTCATTGATTTATTCCACTTTTTAAAGGATACTTAAATATTCCCTATGATGGGTACTAGAACCTAGCTCTTATAGGTGAGTGTTCTTGTCACTTCCCTGGGAGCAAGTGTGTGTATATGCCTCTTCTTATTGTCATTTTCTCTGTTCAAAAGTCCTGGTGACCTTAGGTTGAGTCCTTTTCTTTCTTCCTGAGTACTTACCCTGAAACTGTTTTTTCAGTGTGATCCTTGGTTGTGCATCAGATGCTCTTGTTCTTTAATAATTTTTTCTAGGTAGCACCTTCCTGGCAATAAAAATAATAGGCAGAGGTCATACTTTACTTTTCTGCCGATTTAATTATATTGCACCAGTTATTAAGAGCAGGCTTGGATCCAAGAATGTTAATTTTAGGACTATAAATCAAATGCGTGTTACTGAAAGGGGTTAAAAATAGATGTTGAAATTATAGTAGTATAGAAGCTTAATATAATTACTGAAATAGTTCACTTGTTTCAAACAGTTTGAAACTCTAGGACATGCCTGAATTCATGATTATCATGCTTATGAATGTACCTCCCATATGGATTTCTACTGACCTGCTTCACTGTCAGTTAGAAGAAAATACAGTTTTGCTTTTTGGGCTTATTCTGATAGGTTTGTTAAATATGCAAACAGTTACTTCAGTGGTGAATGAATAAAATGGTTTTCCTATCGTAAGTCAAGTATTTTTTCTTAATATTTCCTTTTTACTTTGATGACTATTCTTTGTTCTTTATTTCTTTCAGGGCTTTATGGCTCAGTATTTTAGTAAGTAGTAGCATGGATGTTTCTGTATGAGAAACTAATATTTCATACACTCACCCATAATTTTATTTTCTCCTGGAGGAAAGAAATTTCTGGTCTATAGTCCGTCCATTTGTAGATAAATACTCTTCCTGAAATTGTGTATGTGGACTTCTTGTAATTGTTGGTAATATCACTTCTCACCTGTTATAGACAGCATCAACATTCTATTAAGAATGTAAAGTTGCACCAGTTAAGAAAGGAAACTTGAACTCCAAAGATGAGAAAAATGTGTAAGTTATTGGTTTGGGTGGGAGAAAGTCTCAGACATAAAAAATTACAGCAAATTTTGCTGTCTATTATGAAAAAGGCCTGCAGGTAAGAGAAGTATTTGTCATATTGGTCATTTGTCATTTGTTATCAGTCTTGGTTTTCCAGTTGCAATACAGATTCTGTGTGCTACCAGCACAGACCAGTTTGATCTGGCTTAGTTGTGGGCACATGGTCACATATCTATTGAACTCCTCAGAGCATGCTAAGGGTGTACTGCTGACTTTATGCTTTAATAATGGCTTTATGTTGATTTTGGTTGCAGGACAGACAGTGTGTTATTTGCTGTAATATCTACTGCTATGAAGCTAATAGCTCAAAAGAATTTGAGCTGATCTACACTAATAGTGAATTTATACTGGAGCAGCACTTTGCATCATATGGCTCTGGTTTTCTTTTCCTACACCTGGTACTAACGGGCTAGAGCTGGACTTTCCGTGTTGTGGACTCACAGCTTCATTAATTTTCTGTTTGTATTGAATTGCAATGACCTTCATACAGGGCATGCACAAAACCTTGCAACATATATTTGTCAAGCAGATATTTCAGTGAATAAGAAATAATGGATTTGAAGTAATTAAACGTGTAACAGCTCTTTCCATCTTCATCTTCAGTTTAAGTTAAACAACCGTTTGCTTTGGTGCCATTTGCCTGACAGCACAAATTCGTGTAGATGTGTATATATGTGTGTGTGTGTTATAGAGGAGGGTCTGCTGTGTGAACCTATTTATTTTTATTATTTAGAAATATTGCTGAAATGGAAACTTTGTATATGAAGGTACTATTATGTTTTATCAAAAGCTTGTTCTTAAGTTTCTATTTATTCCTGAGTTGTAAGTAATTTAATTTTCATGTATCTTCTATCCTCATTCTCTGCTTTTATGAGATACTGGAAATACATTTTTTTTTCCAGCTGGAAGTCAACTATGCATTGTGGGAACAGAAGCTTTAGTATTGATGCAATTAAAAGACACCTTTTCCTTAGAAACAGAAATGCTTGCTAGATGTTCTTGCTTTCCAAAGGATATAGGTTAGAATCGCAAATACCAGGGTAGGAAACAAAAAGTCACCTTCATAAAGCATGAAGCTTGCTGAAAATTTCCTTATCTCTACTCTTCATGGTTTTCTCTAACTGTAAGTGGAACAAAGAATGCAAACTATGTATAGCAATCTCATTTACAGAGACTTAAATGTGTCACCATCAGATATTTATTCAGTGCTGAAAAAGGTCTTGCAAAAAAATGGTGGATTTTAGCTTTGTATATCAAAGCTATAGGTTTATTAGAATCATCAGTAAGCAGTTTAAAAATGTACTTTGTCTAAAACTAATAGTTTGGAAGACTTTACAGTTCCTATTATTTTTTCTTACCTCTTATCTAAATGCTCAGATTAATGCAGTTCAAGATGAAGCAATTGTTCCTTGATTCTCCAGGCCAGTGTATCCTCCTAGTCTGGTCCCATATTTGGGAAATTTCATCAGAATTGTTTAGTATTAACCTTACTGATTAATCCTGTCAGGTGAAGTTCTTAAAGTATGCTACTATTGGCACAGGTGTAAAGCCTCCAATGGGTGTATATGCTGTAAGTGTAGTAATCTCAGAAACATGGATATGATGTTGTGAAGATGTGCTAAGTGTTTGAAAGGATCAGTCAATGATCAACTAGCCGTCCATCAACTGATGTACACAACGTCCTTGAAACAGACTCTGTGAGTTTATTAAATTTCCACTAGATTGTTACTGGCCAGTTATAATAGTTGCAATGGTTGGACTTAAAGAATCTGATTTTATTTTCTGACCTAAATGATTCTATGATTCTAAGACTGAGTGAATGAAGAGGCCAGCTAGAGAAATTATGATTATTCTTGATTTTGGTATTGGATTTTTGAAAATAGATGATGGAAAATGTGTAGATTAGAGTTAAGACACCTCTTAAATTATGAACTTTCAACCTCTTAGTGAGTTGTGAATATGGTTTTTGAGGGAATGCATAAAGGCAAGACAAACAAGAATTATTAAAATATATTCAACCTTATTTTCTTCCCCGCCATATTGTTCTCACAGCTCAACTCATGTCATATGCTGCATTTCTCCACTCCGAGAATTTCAAGTCCCATCCTCCGCACCATGAGCCCTATAGCCTATCTATCCATCCACTTGGACCCTCTGAGGGAGGCTGCTTTACCAAGGAGTCAGTCAGCTGAGAGCCACTCCTCTTCCTCCTGCTCAACTGGTCGTAGGCAGCTTCCTGTCATTCCCTGTGGCAACAAGTTCCCCCCTGTCATTCGCATCTCAAAAGCACAACCTGAGCAGGTGAATAAGCCTTGTCTTCATAGAAGTGACTGCATTGTAGCAGTCATCTGCAAAGTTTAACATTTTCAGTCGCTCTGCGCAGTCTAGTAGCAGGCATATGCTAATCATACTGCTATACACAGCATCCAAAAAATGTTTTGAAGGATCAAGCTGGGGAGTAAGAATGGATCTTTTCCAGGAATAGAGTTGGGAATACTCTGTGAGGAAGATATTTTGTCCCACTTAGAAGAGAGGAGTATTTAAAGAGCTGTTATTCAGGTTAAGATCTGGAGCACAGAGCATCTCTGGATGTTCTGGAAAACAGATTCACTTCCTCAGAGATTTTCTCTTGAAAAGAGATAGGATTATGAAATATAGATTTTTATATTTTTTTTGCTTTATTTAAAACTAAGAATAATGGGTTTCTATAATCACAGTATCAGCTGAATTTCAAATTGGGAGCACATATTGAAATTTGGACTATCCTAAATTATTTTAATGTGACAAAGAGGGATCAATCAAATTCAATAGAAATAGATAGTTTCTTTGGAAATTAGCAAATAATTAATTTTCCCCCTGCCTACAGTATATAAAATAAAGATGGCAATTAATAGGGGTCACGGGTAATGAAAAATGTCAGTAGAGAAAGGGGGCTTTTTATAGTTTTGTATTTCCAGTTTCATTTCAATATGGAAGATGAAGGCTTGCAATCATAATTGAAGTAATTTTTGTATTAGTCCCAAAAATGTTGAGATTTGCTAAGTAGCAGGAGTTTGCATTGTTGGGTAAAGCAGTATGATTTAGCAGTAATGCATAATACTAACATATCATCATCATTTTACCATTAATGTTTCATTTGGATCATATTTTGTGTTGCCTTTGATTGCCAATGTATTTTTCAGTATAGTTCTATATTACAGATGGTGTGAAGAATGAACAGGTGTATTGATATTAAAAGTAATCCATCAACCTTAGTTACTTCCAAAATTCCATGGGATCATTGATGTATGATAACAAGTCAAACCCCTGACTGTTTTCCAGCTGAATATAAAACAATCTATATTTCTGTGCTTGATGTATAGAAAGAAACAATAACACGCTTCATGATGGCTGATGTATTGACTAGGACAGAGGACCTAAGAGAAATTGAGTCATTATGAGTTAAGCTTCAGGACTTTTTGGCATTGGTTTGTACCTAGGATGCAAAGTTACTTTTTTTTTTTTTTTTTTTTTTTTTTTCTTTTTTTCTTTTTTGATTTTTTTTCAAAAAAAAT